CCATCTATTCCACGTTCTGACGTAAATAGTGCGAGAATTGTTTAAATAATTACAACCACGTTAAAAAGATTATCGGTAAGGCCATCCACTCATTGACTAACAAATGACCAAATGATGGCACTGGCGATTGTACAGTTTGGTAGATGTTTATCACAAGAAAAAATTCAAATACGCTAAAGTTTCAATAATCCCGATTTTCTGCCATATTACACCTTCCAAGTGAAGACACTCAAGACAGCACATTATGAGTTTCACCTGGCTCAAAAGCAGAATAAATTAGCTGAAACAAAAGAAAGAGGCAAGAAATTTATACCTCACCACCACAGCAGCGACTTGCTTGAATGCTGATACACCCTTGTCGGTTCGACCACAGCGAGAGAAATCACAATCCTTTTCACTGCATATAAGCTTTGTTTTGAGAAGGGCGTCCATTAAATGCTGGATACATACTAGTTATTCGGAAGCATCCCAGCGATCTCGATAGGAAATGTAAGGTACGAACCTTTTCAACAGTGTTGTCGGTATTCGTCTGCTGAACAAGACCATCGAATTCCCAGCCATGATAGAGGAATTGCAAAGCGATCTTACGGCGAGGATGAGCATCGAAGTCAAACACACGTTTTCGTTTATGGGCTTGAAATAGTGGGTATACAGAATCTAACACAAAGCTAATTCAATGAAAGTCTTGGCCCTGGGGCGACTGGACTAGTAGTTTGCAAGGAAAAGAGCCCGCGACGCCTTCCCTAGGCTCAGCCTTTAGGCAGCATTCACACTTCGCAACGGCAGTGTGTATGACACGATCGCATGCGCGACGAAACCGGTCGTACGCGCGCCTGATCGATCGCGCTCCAATTTTAAAATTGAATAGGCCGCTGCTACGACCTTACCCAAGAAAGCTCTACCCTTATCTTATGCTACTGCAATAGCCCTCGGTTGACTAGGAAGGTGATATGATTCTGTGCTGACTAGATGTGAAAGTCGCGCTCTATTTATGTGGGAACCACGGCTATTGATTTGGTGATGGGAAAGGTTTTGTGGAGAGCGGTAGTTATGGAGGTGATGTGCAAGACACGATTTGGGAAGGCTACGCTCGGAAGAGAAACTAGGCAGAAACTGGCGAACTTGCCGATATTGTCATTGAAAGCCTTCTATTTCACAGTTGATGGGTTCGGATTTTCAAAATCCATCACTGGAAGACTCCAGAAACCGTTTTGGGATAAATCAAAGATTTACTTTTGATCGTGATCTCACTCTTTACTCAGCTCATCTCTTTTGATCGTTTTCTCACTCTTTACTCAGCTCTGGTAATTACCCCCGCCAAACCAATTTTTTCGATGAAACCTTCTTATCGAAGTAATATTCGATTTTCGCGTCTTCTTCAGACGTCTGAAAATGACTCGAAGCTTTAAACTGGTTACCTACCTGACCAAACGCTTTCCTCACCCTTAAGTCCTTCTGAACAACCCGATAGTAATCCTACTAACACGCAGCGTGAGCTAGGTGGAACCTTCGGTTAGTTGCTGGAAATTACTACTGAGTTGTTCAGAAGCGTTCGGGACACAACGTCGGAAACGCTAGAGTGGGGAAGGCGTTTGGTCGGGTAGGTAACAAATTAAAAGCTTCGAGCCATTTTCAGGCCTCTGAAGAAGACGAGAAGGTCGATATGTTAGGCCAATAGTTTCCAAACAAGGGATAACGTGGAGATTTGGAAAGATTTTGTGGCTTGGTTATCTGTTTCTGGATAACCCAGGCATAGTACTCCTATCTTAATTTCAAAGCAAATCGAGCTTGTAAAGAGAATGCAGTGAAGTATTCAATGTTTCAAGTCAGTTACGTAAATGCAACATCTGGATGCAGCTACTGCTAGGCGGATAATCCCGGAACCATTGTAAAAAACTTGCATGTTAAAGACGATGCTGTTAGCTATTTCGGTGTCAGCATAAATATTCTTTGCATGTCCCTGGTTTTCCCACGAAGCCTCCCAAGCTAATAACTTTCCTTTGAGCACTGTTCACAGTCTACGACCCTTACTAACAGTGGTTCAGCGAAAAGCAATAAACAGGTGTCGTTCGGAGAATCGCCAACCGCTCTGGAGAAACGCCGCCGCGGTTCGGCGGTTCGGCGAAAAGCAATAGATGCGTATCGATTTCGCTGGCTCCGCCCTAGAGAAAAACGCCAGGGCGGTCGGGCTAGCGTTTTTCGCCCAACCGCCCGTCGATACGTATCAAAACCGTTTCGCGCAACGCCAGACTCTTCACCGAACCGCCAATCCATACGTATCTAAAGATATTCGCCAAAGCTTTAGAAACGCACGGTCGCAGACTGTGAGCAATTCCTTATTCAAATCCCACGGCTGCGTTCAGAACCAGCAGCAAATGTAGAAGGGATCCATTCAATGTTGGCATCAGAGCGCGCTAACCAGACGCGCGTACGACACGACCATTCGCACGACCGAAACGCTGCCGTCGCGAAGCTTGAACGCTGACCGAGAGCGCTTTCAGACTTAGCGATCCAGTCGTTGGCAACGTACGATCGGATCGCTCGAGCGATGTTTCAAGTGGGAGAGAGAGAACATCGGAAACTCGTTCGCTAACCTAACGTGGTGTAAGTTGAGATTAAAGGACTGTCGCCTAAACCTACACCCGGAAAAATGCCGGACGAGTTTTACGGGCGCAAGTCGTCCACTTCGTTGTGGGACCACGCGTCCTTTAACTTCATTTGAATTAGGATACTTCAATAGCGTTTTTTTGCGAGATTATCGCTTTTGGTAATCATAGTTAATATTTTCGAGATCTGCTTCTGCTTCGAAAGGCTGATGAAAGTGGATACTGAGTTACCGGTTTCGTGCTTTGCTAAGTGCATACTGCTTTTGGCTTGTGATTTGGTTCCGGAGCTTCCGCATGAGCAAGAGTGGCTCCAGCAGTCATGTATGTACTCGGGCTGCTCTCGTTCACCTGCAGAAGGGGGTGGGAGAACACAAGTAAGAGCGTTTTTATGTTGTGGAACTATACTGCGGTTGATTCGAAGCATAAACATCTGCCAATGATCCTGAGGGGCTAATTCATGTTTCCACGCAGCAGTACCCTTCTCCATTCCAGCTGCATTTAAAACATTGTGGTTGTATTTTTGCTGAATTCAGTTTACCATTGCGACTTGAGAAGGAATATGCGTTATGAATCTTAGATCTTGAGACATTATTTTATGTCTGTTCTTACTGAAACTCAACAGTTTTTTCTTGAGAACACCCTCTGAAAGTGAGCAAGTCAAAAGCGTTTTCAACACCCCCCTCCCCCATGTGAAACGGGAATTTTCGCCCGCCGTACATCTATGTAACAAATAGCTGTTATAACAGCGGTTGTGTGCACAGAGTACCGAAGATAGGTTGTAGATATCTTCCTGCGCTGAAATCCAACGCTGAGTGGCAGAACTTCTGAAAATGGTGGCACCCGACGGGATGTAGTCCCTAAAAAACAGAAGATGCAGTTGGTGTGCCCAAGTTTCCGTTGCACCTCACAAGGGAGGTCGTTCAGGGCGTGGTGAGCTTTTTCAAAATGGTCTTGTGCATATTGTAGGGGCACATACGAGGACCAGAAAACTGAGGTTCATTTTCGCTGCGCGCTTCTACGAATAAAAAAAACGTAAAAAATAGGTCGATGGTTCGGATCCCACCGAGGACAAAATTTTGCTTTTCTACAATTTTTCATTTTTTGGATCCATGTTTGTCTAAATAATTGGTCCTAACAAAAACATTCACGATAAACTGAACAATCCTACTTTTATGGAGCAAAACTGCTTTTTCGTTCGAATTCGTTAGTATGCACAGACTCAGCTCTTCGGCGCTATGCCGGTGCCAGATGGCACTGGAACCGAAAATAAAGTCTAGAATCGTGATCAGGACTGTCGATTACCCCTAGGAGCAAGTTTTGAGCGAAAAATTTTTTTTGACTTTTTCGGGTTGTAGGTGGGCCAGTGTGAGCGTGTCACATCTTCGTAACAGCGATGCGTATCGTTGACGCTACGGACACCGGACAACCCAATAAGCAAACCCAAGAAGGTCAAAACAATTGTTTTGACTGAAAATTCGTTTTTAGTGGTAATCAGTGGCCCTGATCACAAATATAACACCTATTCTTGGCGTCCACGCAATTTGGCGACAGAATAGCGCTGAACGTTCCCTACATTGGTGTACATAACGAATTCAGTGGAAAGAAGATGTGGCCCCAAATTGTCTATAATTGACACCACACCAGAAGTTACTAAATTCGCAATCAGATCCACTGTATAGCCTATGAGGATCAACGTCCAGCAACAATCTTGTTCAATGGTGCGTGAAAATCGAAATAGTTGAATAGCTTTGTACAGCTACTCAGAATGTGCCCATAAATGGCAAATATCC